TCTTGGGATTCTTTAAAAAAAAAAAAAAAAAAGAAATGTTTTAAAAAATTCATTTGAGAGAGAGAGCGCACAAGCGGGCGGAGAGGCAGAGAGAGAGGGAGAAGCAGACTCCCCACCGAGCCAGGACCTTGAGACCAAGACCTGGAGATCATGACCTGAGCAGAAGGCCTCTCCTTCCCCCTCTGCTTCCTCCCTCCCCACTTTGCACCTACATGCATGCTCTCAAAAAAAAAAAAAAATCTTTAAAAAAACCCACAAAAACACCATGACATTTTTGGGGGCAGTTAAGTACAAATTTCCCACCAAAAAAAAAAAAGAGTTCTATTAAATTACCCGAATCGCATAAAATGGGTATCTCATTTCTAATGACCATATCCACCATTTCCTTATCTCAGGAGTTTTGTTGTTCCTTTGACTCCTCTCGGTATATCTCTGAGGGAGACAGAGGAAAAATACAAGGACACAATTATATTGTTCCTACGTGATTCAACCTACTACTTTAAAAACAACATATAAGGCTTTTTTTTTTTCTTTTTTAAAGATTTATTTGACAGAGAGAGAGAGAGATCACAAGTAGGCAAAGAGGCAGGCAGACAGAGAGGGGAAGCAGGCTCTTCCTGAGCAGAGAGCCCGATGTGGGGCTCAATCCCAGGACACTGAGATGATGACCTGAGCCAAAGGCAGAGGCTTAACCCACTGAGCCACCCAGGCACCCCAGGAAATTTTTAAAAATAACATTTCCTGGGGTACCTGGGTGGCTCAGTCATTAAGCGTCTGCCTTCAGCTCAGGTCATGGTCCCTGGTCCTGGGATCGAGCCCCGCACTGGGCTCCCTGCTCTGCAGGAAGCCTGCTTCTCCCTCTCCCATTCCCCTGCTTGTGTTCCCTCTCTCCCTGTGTCTTTTATCAAATAAATAAAATCTTTTTAAAAAATTAAAAAAATAACACTTCCTTCTAGGCACTGACACTAAGGAAAATCAAAAATATTAAAATCAGCAAATATAGATATGTAGAAAATTTTCACATAAAGCATACTGTATAAGAATATCCCTTTGACAGCGTCACAAACAGGAGTGAAAATCCAACAAATCCATTAACTATAACTTTTGTTATAGTTATAAGAAATTCTAGTTTTGTACAAGATATAGATGGCCCTCATGAGATCTACCCAAAATAAAGTAGTAAATACACTACTAATGGAATTTTGAGATTTTATTTTTAACTCGTCTCTACACCAAATGTGGGGCTTGAACTTACAACCCAAGATCAAGAATTGCATGCTCTACCGACTGAGCCAGCCCAGGCACCCCCACTGTTTACAGAATGATAAATTGCTTTTACCAAGGTTTATAGCAACAATACAGAATAGGATAAAATGCTAACTTCATTTTAATAAATGAATAGCTAATTTTAAATGTTGATGCTATAATTAATCAGATATTTAATTGACATGCTTCCTTCATGAATATAAATTCAAAATATCAATTGTATTTATCCTTTGGAAATTTAGGTTATTATCAAAATTTAGTAGTCTGCTTAATTACATTAGGTTCTCATATCTGATATACAGCTTTTAGTACTATAAAAATAAATGTAAGTAGAAAAATCAAACAAGTGAAGCAATGTAATTAATTACCAGCCCATATAAAATAAAATAAAATAAAATAAAATAAAATAAAATACCCAGGTATCCCCAAATATTAAGAGTGAGACTCCTAGTTAAAATTTTTGGAGGAGTAATCTAACCCTCTAGTAGATTCACTTGGTAGTACCTGACTTTACTATGTACACAATAAAAATATGTTTTCAGAAACCACATTTGGATCTTTAGACCATCTCAAATACGCCACTGAATGTGTTGTACATCTGTAGTGGCTGCTTAGTTAACAATTAGCTGCATTCAAGAAATGAGTATCATCTACTTTTACTAAAACATTTACAAGCATGGAAAAACACCCAGAAACCTTTTAACCACATTCAAGTAATCAAAAAATAATAGAAAAGGGTGCCTGGGTGGCTCAGTCAGTTAAGCCTCTGCCTTAAACGTCTGCCTTCAGTTCAGGTCATCATCTCAGGGTCTTGGGATCCAGCCCACATCTGGCTTCCCTGCTGAGCAGTGAGTCAACTTCTCCCTCTCTGCCCCTCCTCCCTGCTTATGCTCCCGTTCTCTCAAATAAAATCTTTAAAAAAAACAAACAAAAAAAAAACAAACACAAGGTATATAAATAAAATGTAGAATTTAACTGTGCAAAGAGAACTATAGGAAACCTTCAAGCAAAAATTGTCATCACATAGACAGTAGGGCAAAAGACCCAGGGAAAAAACAATTTAGTTCTATTACAATGAATTTCACATCAGTTAGTAAATATGTTTAAAACTATAACATGGGGGGCGCCTGGGTGGCTCAGTGGGTTAAAGCATCTGCCTTTGGCTCAGGTCATGATCCCAGGGTCCTGGGATTGAGCCCCACATCGGGTTGTCTGCTCAGCAGGGACCCTGCTTCCCACTCTCTCTCTGTCTGCTGCTCTGCCTACTTCTGATCTCTGTCAAATAAATAAATAAAATCTTAAAAAAAAAACCCAAACCCATAACATGGTCCTTGCTAACAATGTAATCATGGATTTCTAATTTGATTCTGATATTAAAAAGCATGAACTCATTAAGAATTTAACTGAGAAACTGTTTGAGAAACCCAAATTTACAGAGAAAATCAGAAATATAGATACACAAAAGAATGATACTTAGAGAAACATAAATTATTAAAAGTTAGTTTTCCAGATACGATAGAGGAAACAATGAGCTGACTATAGGATCAAAATAATTTAGGGAAAATAAGTTTTAACTTTCAGATCAATGTTGGATAATCAAAAGTGCAATCTAACTTCCTTATTGTCCAAAATTGAGTTTTCTATACCCCTCTTCTTAGAAGATTTATTGTATAATTCCTTTGCTAGGCTAATTTTTTAAAATCCCACTTAGGGGGTTAAAGCCTCTGCTTTCGGCTCAGGTCATGATCCCAGGGTCCTGGGATCGAGCCCCACATCAGGCTCTCTGCTCTGCGGGGAGCCTGCTTCCTCCTCTCTCTCTCTCTCTCTGCCTGCCTCTCTGCCTACTTGTGATCTCTGTCAAATGAATAAAAGTCTTAAAAATAAATAAATGAATAAATAAAATAAAATAAAATCCCACTTAGGTACCATATATGTGTATTTTCAAAATTCTGTACACAGTATTAAAGAAAAATAGTAACTTTCATTTAGGTCTTACCTAGTACAGTGAGTGAATTTCATAGTACAACGAATATGAATGAGATGTCAGTATGAATACAAAAGCAAGCCTACAAACTGATGTTTCTTTCTGGGTTTGTTTTTGTTTTCATGATCACTTCCAAACACAGTATAGGGAAAATGGAATGAGTAAGAAAAAAACATCGTATTTTATTTCCCCCATTAACACCAAGTCATAGTATTCAGAATGTATTTCAAAATACTTAGCCAGATCACCAATTCCATCCACTGCCTTAGTTCAAATGTTCACTAAGAAAATAAGCAAACAACAGAAATCCATTATGAAACTCCATCTATAGAGAACAGCTACATTGCTATATATAATTTATTAACTTAGCAATTTAGTCTCCCAATATTTACCAAGTTTGTGTAAAAATTTCTATTCCCATTGGTTTATAGTGACATTAATATAAATGCATAATTTCAAAGTCAACATTCCTTTCACTATGAACATAAAACTTAGAAAGATACTTGTGGGTTACAGTAAAGTAATGACTGGCTGCTGGGATAGCACTGTTCAAGGCCGAATACGGTGGAAGGCTTAGAATGGCATAAATATATACACACACTCTCAATACACTACTACTTCCCACATTTCTGCTATACATCCTTGTTGTATAATATGGTATAAATTATTTCCTCAAACTTGAAAAAAAAATCCAGATGAATACATTTTCATCTTCACTTCAAAATAACCCTTTTAAATGAAAAAGAAGTTCCCATTTGTTAACTCTGTTCAAGAGATGGATTTAAATATTTTCTTCACTACGTGTATAATATTTTTTTTACCCCATCTTAGTGCCTCATTACAACCAGTTTAACAATAAGACCTCCAGTTGTTGAAAATTGCATTCAGTAGATTAAAAGGTTGTAAAATCTGCAGTTGAATCTTTAAGATATGAATCATAACAAAGTTCAAAAAATGTATGACCATCAACACCCTGGAAGCTGTGAATTATTGCCAAAAAACTCACAAGTGCATATAATTCAAACATAAACTTTGTGGGGAAGGAATGTAAAATAAATAATATTTTTCAATTCTATTTAAATGTTACTTAGATGCTTAGATGAAAGGATTAATACTACCAACAGGAAGAATCAAACTATTTTAAAGACTGCTTTCCAAGTAATTAGAACAATTTTGCAAAACAAAGATAAGCAAGAGCCTATGCCAATACATTTTTCCTGTAGTGTAATGTAATTGCTAATATGAGGTATAATCTGTAAGCAATTAATACAAATATAAATAGGTATAAGCCACACTAACTCACAGTCTGGTGAAAAGCTTCTCAGCTACTGTAGTTTGGATAGGGAGTTAAAAGAAATGAGAACGGAAGGACAGGGCAGGTTTCCAGTGGGAACATCATTTACATGCCTTATCATTATCATCATATTGTATTTAACAGTCCACTGTTGCAAAAAGGGAAATCCTTTCCAAGTATGCTGGTCTAGAATATACTTTAGTAGCACAGTAAGATTATTTAAGTATTACTAATACTTCATTTGCATTTATATTTGGATTATACACATAATCATATGTATATCAAAAACTATAAACAATTTTAAAACATTTTCATCTCATTTCTGAAAAGTTAACAGTTAAGACTGAACTATGTACTACAGAATTTTCTAGAATATCTAAACTAGGGGTAAAACCAAAAGAAAACTTGACTATTTCTTTAGTAAATGGCTTGTGCGAAACCTCAAGCTCACTCATCTTTTTATAGATGGGTTTATTTGATGAGGATTGTGATCCAATGATTGTTTAGCAGCAATTTTACCAAACTGTAAATTCTTTATTAACAGGCATTATAAACAGATAATACTAATCTTATTTAAAAACCATGAGTGCCACACTGGTGAATATACAGCTCATGAATAACTTAAAAAGTATTTCCCATTTTAAAAGGCAACACTCAGCATACAAAAACCTATACTAAACAAAGAAGCTATAATATGGATACATGATTGATGTGTCTAAAATGATATATATACAGTACATAATTATTAATTATGTAATCAGTACATTTTTTTCTATATGATTCCCTTCATGCTTCACTTTCCCCAGAAACTGAATTCTGAACTTCCTCTTCTAAAATTGGTACAATCAGGTTATCCTTGGACATCAAATTATATTTCATCACAAATTTAGTAAACCGGTGACACAAAAATGTTTCGTTCTGTAGAGAGAAAGGAAAAAAAGCAATTTTAGCTTACTATTCAGAACCAAAAAAACTAGACATAGCATCAACATATGACCACTATCATTCGCTAAACATGCGTCTGGACACTGAGGAAATACACTTACTTCATATTCGTCAAATATCTGCCGATGGTGGAAATACGCATGTGAGAATATCCTGTAAATCCTACGGCACACCGATCCCAGTTTTGCTACAGAGGATTCCTTTATGCTAACCCTAGAAATAGGAAAGAAATCAGAGTTATAGAGCTGGACAGATCTCATGGAAAAATAGTCTCATCTTCTCAATTTGCCAAGTGTGGAAACTTAGACCTAGGGGAAAAAAAGTGACCAGTGCAAGGTCACAGTGCTAGTAGGGGGCAAGACAGGACTACGACCCCTGTTCTTTACTCCTAGGCCAGTGCTGTATCTACCTAACCACAGCACCCAAGAAACTCACTGTTGTAACTTTTGAAACTTTAAAGTTCATTGCAATTAAATCCCTGACAAATCAAAACTGACTAAAACTTAATACTTTGTCCACTAAAGATGATTAAAACCACTAAAGGGAATTGTTTTATTCTATACAACTTGACTTTTTAATAAAAATGCCTCCAAATTTTGGTATTAAAAAAATGTAAAGGGGCACCTGAGTTGGCTCACTTGTTAGGCATCTGCCTTTGGCTCAGGTCATGATCCCAGGGTCCTGGGATCGAGCCCCGCATCGGGATCCCTGCTTGTGGGGCTCCCTGCTCCTTTTCTCCCTCTCCCACTCCCCCTGCTTGTGTTCCTGCTCTTGCTATCTATCAAATAAATAAAACCTTAAAAAAAAAAAAAAGTAAAAAAAAAATTTAGGGGCACCTGGTTCAGTCAGCGGAGTGGGCGACTCTTGATCTCGGGGCTGAGTTTAAGCCCCATGTCAGGTGTAGAGATTACTCAAAAATATAAAATTTTTTAAAATGGGGCACCTGGGTGGATCAGTGGGTTAATAAGCCCCTGCCTTCACCTCAGGTCATAATCTCAGGGTCCTGGGATCGAGGCCCGCATCAGGCTCTCTATTCAGTGGGAAGCTGCTTCCCTCCCTCTCTCTGCCTGCCTCTCTGCCTACTTGTGACCTCTCTCTCTGTCAAATAAACAAAATCTTTAAAAAAAATTTTTTTTAAATGTACATAGGATACTGAAACAAAAAATAGTATTTTTAACATATTTTATATGACCTCTATATTTGGGGGAAAGAACTTCCAAATCTATCCACCTGGTAACAGATACCTTAATTGAATGAAGGCCAGGCAACAAATCTCTCTAATAATATAATACACAGAAGCTTCGTCCCAGATCTTAAAAACCTATAGGCAAGATAAGGAATCCTTCAACAACAAGCAGTCCAACCTAGGAAGTTCTGCTCTCTAGGCATACCATGTAAGAGGACGCTAGCTCTAGCACAGAGATTCAAGTAAGTCAGTGTGTAAGTAGCCCAACACTAAAGCATGAGGGGGAGAGCCTCGGAGGACATACAGCAGCAGCGACTACTCTTGACTAACCTGACCTGTGAGCTTCAGGGGCCAAGTCCTGTGGCTTTTAGTTTAACCACAACCCTAAATTTCAAAATTTGAGTAATTCTGAACTAGTTAAACATATAATAGCATAAAAAAAAAGTTTTAAAGAATACAATGCAGTAACAGCAACCTAGTTTGTTTTAATAAAAATACCAATCTTCTAAATTAAATCCAAAAAGTTTAACACTAAGTTTAAAAGTTTTATTTACCTGCTAGGAAAATATTTATTGCTATTCAGAAGACATGCAGCACCATCGAGTGTATGTCTAGTATAGTCTATTGCAGGACACTATAAAAGAAAGGATATACATGAGGTCTGTTTATTATATATTTGTCTTATTCCAAAAACCTGAGCATGTTTGAAGAAAAAGTCTCTTACAATATCAGAATGATTGTAAAATTCAATGTTACAACAAATAAAGTTATATTTAAAAAGTTAACAGGTGAAATTAATTTTAATGATATATTTTATTTAACTCTATATAGCCAAAATTATGTCAACATATAATTGATATAAAAATTATTAATGGGCTTCTTTGGGGTATTTAAAAAATAAGATGTAATTCACATACCATAAAATTTCTCTTTTAAAACATGTAACTCTCAAGTTTTCAGTATATTCATAAATTTATGCTACCATCACCAACTACATTCCTGAACATTTTCATCACCCCAAAAAGAAACCCACTATCAATCAGCAGTCAATTCTCATTCTCTCCTCCCCCTAACTTGGAGCAACAATTAATCTACTTTCGGTCTTCCATGGATTTGTCTATTCTGGGTATTTCCTAAAAATGGAATAATATGGGGATGCCTGGGTGGCTTCAGTCAGTTAAGCCTCAGACTCCTGATACCAGCTCAGGTCATGGTCTCAGAGTCACGAGATCCAGCCCCACACTGGGCTCTGCGCTGGCCATGGAGCTTCCCCTAAGAGTCTCCCTCTCCCCGTCCCTCCCCCTTTCAACGCCCCCCTCCCCCACGGACACATTAGCTCTCTCACTCTCTGTCTCAAAAAAACAGAAAAGAAATAATATGTGGACTTCTGTGTCACTTAGCATGTTTTCAAGGTTCATCCATAGTGTAGCACTGAGTACTTTTTTTTTATTCAAAATCTTTTGAGAGTTTAATGGTTCTAATATATACAAAATGTTGTAATCCCTTTTAACTTCCTTTTTATGGCTGAATAATATTCCACTGTGTGCATACACTACATTTTATCTGCTTATGCATCCTCAGTTATTGAAAACTTGGTCATTTCCATGTCTGGCTATTATTAACAATGTGACTATACTAGTGTACAAGTTTTGTATGGACATATGTTCTCATTTCTCTTGGGTATATACCTAAGAGTGGAATTGCTAAGTCATATAGTAACTATGCTTATCTTTTTAAGGGACTTCCAAACTGTTTTTCCAAAGTGGCTACAGTATTTTACAGTCCTATCAGCAGTATATGAGGGTTCTACTCTCTCGACATCCTGGCCAACATTGGTTATTCTCTTTTTTATATTTTAATCATTCTAGTAGATGAATGGTATGCCATTGTGGAGTGTATCTTTTCTTTTTCCATTTAAAAAAATGTGGTGAACTATATTTCAGATGAGGGCGCCTGGGTGGCTCAGCTGGTTGAGCAACTGCCTTCCGCTCGGGTCATGATCCTGGAGTTCTGGGATTGAGTCCCGCATCTGGTTCCCTGCTCTGCAGGGAGTCTGCTTCTCCCTTTGACCCTCCCCCTCTCGAGCTCTTTCTCTCTCATTCTCTCTCTCAAATAAATAAAATCTCTCTTTTTTTAGATCAATTTATTTAATTTAGACACAGACAGAGATCACAAGTAGGCAAAGAGGCAGGCAGAGGAGGGGGGCAGGCACAGGCCCCCTGCTGAGCAGAGAGCCTGATGGCGGGGCTCAATCCCAGGAGCCTGAGATCATAACCTGAGCCGAAGGCAGAGGCTTAACCCACTGAGCCATGCAGGTGCCCCTCAAATAAATAAAATCTTAAATAAAAATTTTTTAATTTAAAAAATGTATTTCAAATGAATTTCGCCATTTCAACTTTTTTAAAAGTACAACTCAGTGGCATTAATTACATTCACTATTGTGCAACCATCAATACTATGTGTTTCTGACCAAAAGTTTTTCATCATCCCAAACAGAAACTCTATAAACCATTAAGCAACAATATCCCATGCCCACCATCCTTTCTAGATATTTCATGAAAGTGGAATCATACAATATCTGTCCTTTTCTGTATGGTTTACTTCATTCAGCACGATGTCCTCAAAGTTCATCAACATTGTAGCATGTATCAGAACTTCACTCTCTTTTATGGCTGAATAATATTCTATTCTATACATTCTGTTGATCCACTCTCATCGTGGTTTTGATGATTAATGATGCTGAGCACCTTTCCATATGTTTTCTGGCCATTTGTTTACCTTCTTTAGAGAAATGTCTATTCAAATCTTTTGCTCACTTTTTATTTGGGTAGTCTTTTAACTGCTGAATTGCAACAGTTCTTTATGTATCTGAATACCAGACCCTTATCAGAGATACAATTTATAAAAAACATTTTTCCCACTCTTTAGATTGTCTTTTCACTTTCCTCACAGTGTCAAGGCAAAAAAATTTTTTTTAAATTTTGAAAAAATCTGATCTATATTTTCTTCTTTTATTTGTACTTTTGGTGTCATATCTAAGAAATCAGTGCCTAGTCCATGTGAAGAGTTACACATGTGTTTTTTTCTAAGAGTTTTATAATTCTGGTTGTTTTATTTGGCTTTTGATCCATTCTCAGCTAAATTTTGTATAAGGTGTGAGGTAGAAGTCTAACTTCATTCTTTTGTATGCAGATATCCAGTTATCTCTTAGTAAGATACGTGATATCGCCTTTTTGTACTAACTCTTTGAAACTGGTATTTTACTTTACACTTAGAGTACATCTCAGATTGGACTACCAACATTAAATGCTCTGTACCACATGTGGTTCATGGCTATTATTGTATCAGTATAACTTTAGATCTTTAATTGGTTTCTGAAAAAAAATTTTTTTGGAGTGGGAAGAAAAGTTTTACCTTGTTTTAGCTGCTTCCTTCCTTCCCTCCCCCCCCCTCAATTAATTCTCAGGTAACTCATCCTACTTTCTATCATTTTTAACAGCAAAAAGTTGGCAAAATACAGAAGGTTACCAAAAGCAAAGTTTTATAAATTCTATTCTGCCAAGCATATATGTAAAATGCTACTGCGGTCTGTATGTGACTGAAAGGGCTAGCAGATAATAACACATTATAACCTTTGTCACTTACACTAAGTGTCACTTATCACTGTGTACAGTTAATTCAATTTGCTGCAATGAGTCTCTTTAATTCTCAAGACATTGAGTAAATCATCACTGGTGCGGAGTACCCTAACTCTTCTATTTCAGAATCCTGCCATTCTTTTAACCCAAAAGAGCAACTCTTTTAGCTACTAATCTGTTAGTTGCTATTATTTCCTGCCTGCATAATTATTCCAAGAGTTCAGAAAGTATCCTTCCAAGATTTTCTTTTATTTTTACATTTAAATCCCTTTCCAGAAAACTATCCCTTGAATATTCTACCATGATCTTCCCTTGACATATAAACAATTCAGTGGAGCTTGTCTTCAGCAAGCAATGTTACAATTTTAAGACTCATTCACAGGACTCAATGCTGATGATCATCCTATCTTACATTTAATATTAATCAAGAAAAAAGTAGATGTGACAATGAGAGTACATATAAATCTCACAATCGCAAACTGGGTATCTTTTCTACTCTAAAGTGAGAATAAAACATCCTTACTATTTGCAAAAATTAAACTTGTCTTCTTGATTCAATTTCTTAATTGCAATTATCATGTAATTCACTATACTTATTAAGTAGCAATTTCAGTAACTTATCAATAAACTGCTATGTGGGTTTTCCCAGATGTAAAATGATACAAAATCTTAATATTGCTTCAATTAACTAACACACACACACAAAAACAGCCTGAATAAAATCAGTCAACCAAATAAGCACTATTTGCTTAGACAGGTACAAGATACTCCTTATTTTAGAAAATTTACATTCTCAAATAAAAGAACACCAAATGTTCACTTTGCAACTAGAAAGTCACCTGTTGTCAAGTCTTAGAAGTCTAGCAATAAAATGATTATCTGCAGGTCTATAATTCTACAAAACTGGCCTAACCCAAATATTTTCAGTACGTTTAAGTGTCAAGTAAAAAGTACTACAGATTGAAAGGAAATGCAGATCAAGGGAAATGCAATGCATAAACAAACCGGCTGTAATTACTGAGATAATTAAGGAAAATTGAATTATGTGCTATTAGATAATATGAAAGAATTATTTCTAACTAAAAATGTTCTATAAACAATTGCTACTTCCTATATCCTCACCTTGACAAAAACTAAATGAGGAGAAAACAAGAATAACTTTTTCAATGTAGGACCAACTATGGAGAGGAAAATCTATGGTTGGTTTCAAATATTTTAGTATATGTGCTGCCGAAGCGAGCACGGTTGGTTTCAAATAAAGGGTAGGAAATATTAATAAAATGTAGAGCAAAAAATATTGACCTATAAAATCAGAGAGTCCTAAAGCAACATTACATTAATAGATTAAGCATCAACTAGTAATCACCAACAGTTACTCCTATCAAAAGAAATTATAACTAGAAAAAGAAAAAATTATGACTGAATCAAAAAACTAAACACGTATATGTCATCCATTATACATTAGATATCAGCATGATACGACAGATGTTATTCTGTGATAGCCAGTAAATCATAAATTGAGTTCTAACCCATGATATTGCCCAGTTACCAAAAAATTAACACTAATTCTAAGAAATTCTAAAATAGCACAGTGGCAATAAATTTGCAGTGAAGAACTCTAAACCAACTAGCAAAAACAAACAGCAAACTAAACACTAAAAATTTATCTACCACTCTCTTGGAGAGATTAAGGTTATGATGATTTTATCAGTCATTCTATTTCATAATTTCTCACCTCTTTTGGAGTTTTATGAGCTGCACAAAGAAAAATCCACTGTTCAGTTGCTGTCATCTGAGTACATGTATCTGGATGGCATTCACTCTGTTAGAAAAGAGTTACATTTCTTAATATATAAAGTTTATCATTTGGGTTACTACATTTCCACATAAAATTCTAGAATAATTAGAAATGATGGCTAAGTCCTTGTAAACACCTTAAGTTAGAAAAACAGAAAAATCAGGACTTCCAATTATAGCTTTAACTTAAAGAAAGTATTACCTGAAGTTTAACAGCAAGTCCATTTAGTTCAAGACAGAATTGCCTAAAAATGAAAATACATAAATGAAAAGTCTTATCCATTCTCCACATTATTTTTAGAATTTCTAATTATAAAAACAGAATCCCATTCGTACCATCCTTCCTCTCTCATCACCATTATCAACCACCATTGGAATTTACAGGGCACATTTCTTAAAAAGACATACAGATTAGTAAGTAAAACCCCAAACTAACAACCGTAATAACGTTCAATATCAGAGTACAGTGAGCTGATCAGACTTATACACTGGAAATTCTGAGAAGTAATCTGTAAATATATACTAAAACCCTTAGGAAGTGTATATTTTTTTCTAAGTCATTCTCCTAAGAATCTATTCTAATAAAATAATCAAAATTCCATGCAGATATATGTACAAAGATGTTCAGAGAAAATACACATAAAAATTTTTTATAAACATTTTTTTGAAATATTCCAAATAATCAGCAATTGCAGAGTTGTAAACTGTTGGTATATATATGTTGTATATACACAAACGGTATATAAACAATAAACTACTGGTATATATATGCTGTATATACACAAACATTCATATAGAAAAAGGACTAGGGGCACCTGGGTGGCTCAGTCAGTTAAGGGTCTGCCTTCAGGTCAGGTCATGATTCCGGGGTCGTGGGATATGCCCTGTGTCACGCTCCCTGCTCAACAGAGTCTGCTTCTATCTCTTCCCTCCCCGTTCCTTGTGCTCACCCCTCTCTCATAAATAAATAAATAAAATCTTTAAAAAAAAAAAAAAGACTAGATAGATCTTTTATATGCCTATATATTTTACAAGTTTTGTTCTGATTACAAACAACATACTCCTTATAAGAAGTCAAACACGAACATATAATGTACAATAAGAAAATCCTCCATAATTCTACTACCTCTTCCCAAAAGTTATTATTTACAACTAAATTTGATTTTCTATGCAGAGTAAAATATATTGGGATCATATCATACATAATTTTGTAACTTGTTTTTGGTCACTTAGTAGATTGCAAGCATTTTTTCATGATATACTTCTCTTCTAAAACTGCCAAACTAAGAATTATAAAGCCTAGAACAATGCTCAGAACCTAGCGTTTTATATACACACACACACACACACATATATATATATTTTTAAGTTTATTTATTTATTTGACAGAGAGATCACAAGTAGGCAGAGAGGTGGGGGGGGGAGGCTCCCCGCTGAGCAGAGAGCCCAATGAGAGGCTCGATCCCAGGACTCTGAGATCATGACCTGAGCTGAAGGCAGAGGTTTAACCCACTGCGACACCCAGACACCCCCAAAAATATTTTTGAATAAATGAAGAATGAAGGAAATTTCATAGCATCAAGATTATCTTTTTTTTTTTTTAACCATTTTTAAGATTTTATTTATTTAACAAAGAGAGACATAGCAAGAGAGGGAACACAAGCACGGGGAGTGGGAGAGGGAGAAGCAGGCTTCCCGCTGAGCAGGGAGCCCATGTGGGGCTCGATTCCAGGACCCAGGGATCATGACTGGGGCCAAAGGCAAATGCTCAACCAACTGAGCCACCCAGGCACCCCCAAAATGATTTTTATATGATATGTCATTTTTATATCATTGTATATGAAAAGACAATCATTTATGTTATAAAGCTACCTTACTTTATTGCTGTCAAACTACTGAACGCACTACCTCTTAAAAATTTACCAATCACTATGTTTCCCCAACAAATGAGAACAATCTGATTCCCTAAAAATACAAAGCTACAAAGGTAAAAGACAAGACAGTCCCAAAGGGCAGAAAAAAAAAAAAAAAAAACCTGCCCACATATGAAAGAAAAACTATTTATTTAAAGTTTATGATAACAGAAGAAATCAAATAGCCAAATTTTCACTTGTCTGTGAATGTATTTCCTTTGAGATCCCTAACAATAATGCTCTTTTTAAATCACAAAAATATCACTATTTCTGAATCAGCACATCACCCTCTACTCCCCCATATCTATAACTTGCATGTTTCAGGTTTTCGAGTTGTTTTCCACTCAGTAATAAAGACAGGTGGTGAAAAATAAGTTTCTCATCTAGTTTAGCTCCCTTAGGGCCAATAGCAAAATTAAGCTACCGATCTGGCAGTGCTATGGGTACAATCTGTGGCACACAGTGCAAATTTAACAGCTTCAAGTTTATTCAACATAGGGCTAACAGATACAGTTGTGCAGCTGAAGAGACAAGCCAGAGCTGAAACCCAGCCTACACTGTAATCTCTAAACCATGCATCCTGGCATGGGATTGTATCCACTCAGAAGGGGCATCTCTTCCTATTATAAATATTCCATATGGGCTAGTGAGAGATTTGAACGAAGTCTCGTTAACACCATAATTATCAACTATATTAACCAATAAAAAAGAGCAAGTATTAAGCCTCAAATCAATTACATCAAGCACATGAAAAACACCAAAAAGTTACTTCTGAAACTCTTCTTGGTGAACTATAAAGATGTATAGACTATGATAAAGACACAAAAGAATATATTTGTGATGTATAATACATAAATACAAAACCAAAATAAATTGAATATTCAATGGGAAAAAAAGTAAAAATAACAGCACCAGAACAGGAGAAAGATTTTATAAATGTGCAATATAAAATATTACATATTTTATAGTCTAAGTTAAATAGGGAGGAAGAGTTGTTCTTACATCTGAAATTAAGATCTTGTTTACTAAAATCAGCCCTTGGGGGTACCTGTTGGTAAAGCATGTGACTCTCGATCTCAGGGTTTCAAGCCCCATGTTGGGTATGGAGCCCTATAATAAATCAATCAATATAAATTTATGAACTCTAAAATCAGCCCTCACTTCTTTGGAATTACACTTGTGGAAAAAACATCCTCATTTATTTTCATCATTAATCCCAACAGGTAAGTAGGTCGTTATTTTCAAAGCTGATTAAAGTAAGGCAGAGAATATGCACTGAAGTGCTACCTTGATTTATAAGAGCAGGAAAATATCTACATGTTCATACTTTCAATTATCATGCATTAAGATGTGGTTTTTAAAAACTGGATCTGGAAAAATGAACTATTGGGACTTCATCAAGATCAAAAGCTTTTGCACAGCAATGGAAACAGTCAACAAAACCAAAAGACAACTGACAGAATGGGAGAAGATATTTGCAAACGACATATCAGATAAAGGACTAGTAATCAAAATCTATAAAGAACTTATCAAACCCAACATCCAAAGAACAAATAATCCAATCGAGATATGGGCAGAGGACATGAGCACACATTTCTGCCAAGAAGACATCCAGATGGCCAACAGACACATGAAAAAGTGCTCCACATCACTTGTTATCAGGGAAATACAAATCAAAACTACAGTGAGACACCACCTCACACCAGTCAGAATGGCTAAAATTAACAAGTCAGGAAACCACAGATGCTGGTGAGGATGTGGAGAAAGGGGAACCCTCCTACACTATTGGTGGGAATGCAAGCTGGTGCAGCCACTCTGGAAAACACCATGGAGGTTCCTCAAAAAGTTGAAACAGAGCTACCCTACGACCCAGCAACTGCACTACTGGGTATTTACCCTGAAGATACAAATGTAGTGATCTGAAGGGGCACGTGCACCCGAATGTTTATAGCAGCAATGTCCACAATAGCCAAACTATGGAAAGAACCTAGATGTCCATCAACAGATGAATGGATAAAGATGTGGTATATATGTACAATGGAATACTATGCAGCCATCAAAAGAAATGAAATCTTGCCATTTGCGACAACGTGGATGGAACTAGAGGGTATTAAGCTGAGCGAAATAAGTCAATCAGAGAAAGACAATTATCATATGATCTCTCTGATATGCGGAATTTGAGAGGCAACGTAGGGGGTTTGGGGTAGGGAAGGAAAAAAATGAAACAAAATGGGATCAGGAGGGAGACAAACCATAAAAGACTCTTGATCTCACAAAACAAACTGAGGGTTGCTGGGGGGAGGGGGGTAGGGAGAGGGTAGTTGGGTTATGGACCCTTGGGAGGGTATGTGCTATGGTGAGTGCTGTGAAGTGCGTAAGCCTGACAATTCACAAACCTGTACCCCTGGGGCTAATAATACATTATATGTTAATTAAAAAAATTAAAAAATAAATTGGATCAGGGTGACTGCCGGCTCAGTCAGTAAAGCATGCAACAATTAATCTTGGAGTTGTGGGTTTGAGCCCCATGATGTGTGTAGCGATTACCTAAATATAAACTCTTAAAACAAAACAAAATTAGATCAAGTAGTCAAGTGATTTGTCCAAGAAACTGGTGGAATACAAAGAAGTCTTAGCAACCTGATATTACTGAACTATTATGATAAGACATTATGTCTTAGCAATGTCTAGCAAGAAATGTAATCTAATTTATTTACGGAAAGTCCTATTTCTACTCCACATATTATGTAAAAATCAACTCAGAATATAACAAACCCTGATGAACATATATTTCATGCTACATTCTTTATATTTCACCTATCAACTCATCTCAGCTCCCATTTACAGTGGCAAGTTTGTAACTTCCGGAAACAACTTCGTAACTTTAGGATTTAGCTGTTTTTAAAGTTAACTCTAGTTGGGACGCCTGGGTGGCTCAGCTGGTTGGACGACTGCCTTCAGCTCAGGTCACGATCCTGGAGTCCCAGGATCGAGTCCCGCATCGGGCTCCTGGCTCCACAGGGAGTCTGCTTCTCTCTCTGACCTTCTCCTTGCTCATGCTCTCTCTCACTGTCTCTCTCTCAAATAAATAAATAAAATCTTTAAAAAAAAAAAAAGTTAACTCTAGTTAACTAGTCATTCACTAGTCATCAATTTGCTCATTTAAAGGGCATCATGAAAAAGTGCCCAAGCTCCTTACCTCAGAATTACAATTAAGTTTTTAAAGATTCATTTATTTGAGAGAAGAGAGTAACCACATGCATACACATATGCTTGCAAGCCAGGGGGAGGCGCAGAGATAGAAAGAGAATCTCCAGCAGACCACCTGCTGAATGTGGAGCCTGACAGGGGACTCAATCTCATGACTCTGACTGAGATCATGACTTGAGCTGAAATCAAGAGTCAAACACTTAATCTACTGAACCACCCAGGTGCCCCCAAAATTATAATTAATCTTTATTTATCACATGGAAGACTAGAAATTCACAGTAGGCAACTCATCAGATACCAAGCCTAGAATAGGGCCTTCTTGTGATCCTCTATAGGAAAATAAAGTTTGGGGTGCCTGGCGGCTCAGTGGGTTAAGCCTCTGCCTTCAGCTCAGGTCATAATCTCAGGGTCCAAGGATCGAGCCCCACATCAGGGTCTCTGTTCAGCAGGGAGCCTGCTTTCCCCTCTCTCTCTGCCTGCCTCTCTGCCTACTTGTGATCTCTCTTTCTCTCTCTCTGTCAAATAAATAAATAAAAATTTTTTTAAAAAATCTTTAAAAAGAAAAAAGAAAAATAAAGTCTATCTTGAGTGGATAAATTGAAATAATGCATTTGTGGTTAAGACAAACTGTGTAGAGGCACCTGGCTGGCTCAGTACATAGAGCATGCAACTCTTGATCTTAGGGTTGTGGGTTCAAGTCCCACTTTGAGAGGTAAGGTGTAGAGATAAGAAGAAAAGAAGATAAGGAAAGAGGGAACCGGGACCCCTGCACCCCCAGGAGGAGAAAGAGAGAGAAAGAAGAACAAAAAGCTGTGTAAATAGAAAATAATGCCCATATCCATAAATGAAGAAAAAAATCAGTAAATAACAAAGATGAAAACTTTGTAACACTGAAAACACAAAAGCTTTAAAATCTGGCTGTTTAAAGTCTGCGATTACATAAAGATTTTATTTATAATTCAAAATCATCAACATTAAAGATTATTTTTACAAGAGGAAGTACTACTACTATTTTGATACATCATAAAGATTTACCTTAAATGTTCATATTTCCATACACCTTCATCTTGGCCTTCAGGTGGTTCAAGTATTTTGTCAATATTGGAACAGTCTGCTCTTATGTTTTGTTGAATATACTATAAACAAAAAAAGTCCTCATAGTTAATTAAGATATTATACTTCATGGTAAATCTTCTGTTAAATATATTTAATTTTTGAACACATGACTGCTCTTACGTTCCAACTTTTTTGGGTTATACATAAAACAAGAAACCAAGTACAAAATCATAATCACTAATTCAGAAGAAAGGAGGTAATCCTTACCTATGCTTTCTCCAATTCAACCTCTTTGGGGTAAGATCTACCATATAAATGCAGATACGGTACTTACCAGGACTGGATATGGGATCAAAACTGTAAACTACAATCTTCCTAAGAACATAAAATGTAGACGATATAACTATGGTATACAGTATAGGATTCCACTAATATCAATTATCTAGAATAGGCAAATCTATGAAGACAAAAATAGTAGTTGTTTAGGACTGGGGGAAGAAGAGGAGACAAAGGAGAACAGAGATAAGTGCAAATGTAAATGAAATTTCTTTCAAGGGGGAATGGAGATCTTCTAAAATCAGACTGTTGTGATTGTGTACAACCTTGTGAATATACTAACAACCATGTATATATATTTTAAATGAGCGATTTCTATGGTATGTGATATCCCATAAAGTTGTTTTCAAAAAATGTCCAGCAGAAAAACTAAGTTAAAAGAAAAATAGGCATGGACATTCACTTTTAATTTATGCAAAATAAAACTTTAAATTTCAGATCTTTTTTTTTTTTAAAGATTTTATTCATTTCAAAGACAGAAATCACAAGTAGGCAGAGAGGTACGCAGAGAGAGGAGGAAGCAGGCTCCCCGCTGAGCAGAGAGCCCGATGCGGGGCTCGATCCCAGGACCCTGAGATCATGACCTGAGCTGAAGGCAGAGGCTTTAACCCACTGAGCCGCCCAGGTGCCCCATAAATTTCAGATCTTTTTAATGTTTCATGGATTCTATGATATAAATACTGTGAAATATGAATAGGTTATATTAGCTTAAAATGCCTGATTACAGAAACTGAACAACTACAGGGCCTATTAAAGCTATCGTTTATGCTTATTTTCAGGCAGTATTTCCTGAAGATTACGCTCATGTCAAAAATATGCTCAAAAGATTCTGACTCCCTAATGCCTACTTAAACCACTCTCCCTAACTTTCTGACCCAAAGTTCTAAATTCCAAAGTTCCGCATGAAACTGATTTTCTCCTCAAGCAGAAAAGAGCAAATTCTTTACCTTTTCCACTGGCCACCTCAAACTCCATACAATTTTTTTTTTAAAGATTTTATTTATTTGAGAGAGGGAGAGAGAGAGAGAGAGAGAGAATGTGTGTGTGTGTGTGTGTGTGTGTGTGTGTGCATGAGCAGGGTGAGTGGAAGACGGAGAAGTTGACTCCCCGCTGAGCAGGGAGCCGGATATTGGGCTTTAGCCCAGGACTCTGGTATCATGACCTGAGCGGAAGGGAGACTGAGCCACCCAGGCACCCCCACACTATTCTTTCCAAATTCTCTCTCCCCAGCACATTCAAATCGTTTCTGGTTATTCTAGTACTCACAGAACTCAGTCTGATTTCCTCCATTTGTCACTATATAATCTAAATTAGCAATTTGTCTATGCGCTCTTACCTTTCCTGCTCCCATCACACCTCCTATAGAACTCTTACAAGCATTTATTTATATTTAATATGTAACAGTTATTATCAAGGGTCTCCCTCAAATAAAAAAGAGAATTTTAAATTTTAGTATTAGCATCTGGCACATAGGAGATTTTTAACAAATTTGTACTGTCTTTTCCTAAATTATATTACTTGAAGTCAAGGATAAAGATATGTAATTACCTAAAATGTTAAAGCCATGAAAGATTAGGGATGAAAAAATTTACCAGAAATGGAGTGTGGTCCCTGATTCTTTAATATTCTTTAGTGGTCCCAAAGACAGTTTGGTAGTGAGCACACAAAAATATATTCTCTGCAATATGGTTTGCTCGTAATATTAATATTAATTTTTTAACTACATATTTAGTAACTGAATTTACGTATAATTATTAAAGTTTTTATAAGTAGAATTATAAGCTGTCAATCGTTAGGGAATCTAAATTTTTTTTTTTACTGATGATTTATCAAAACCTGTTTAGCCTGCTAAAACAAAAATATCAACATTTTCTATGGGATTAAATAAAACCAGAGTCTAGGGGCACGTGAATGGCTCAGTCGTTGGGCATGTGCCTTTGGTTGTAATCATAACCCCAGGGTCCTGAGATCAAGCCCTGCATTGGGCTCCTTGCTCGACAGGAAGCCCGCTTCTCCCCCTCCCCTGGCTTGTGTTCCCTCTCTCGGTCGCTCTCTGTCAAATAAATAAAATACTGAATAAATAAATAAATAAAACCAGAGTCTAGACATAATATTCAAAATGTCCAGAATACAATCCAAAATTACTTGGTATACAAAGAATACATGAAAATCTCAGTACAAGAAGAAGAGTGTGCTGGGGGAAGGGAGTTGTGGGAAGTTGTTATTGTTTAATGGGCACAGAGTTTCAGCTGTTAAAAGCTGAAAAGTTCTTTTAAAAAAAGATGAAAGGGCAACCCTTTTGGGTCCCTTCCTCTTTGGGAACTTTTTACTATCACTCAATAAACTGCTTTGCTGACCACCAAAAAAAAAAAACAACAAAAAAAAAACCCCTTCAGATAGAGTTGGTAATGATCACACAATAATGTGAATGTACTTAATGCCACAGAACTGTACACTTAAGGGGCCCTAGCTGGCATAGTCGGTAGCACATGCAATTCTTGATCTCAGGGCCATGAGTTTGAGCCTCATATTGGAGGTAGAGTTTACTTAAAAAATTAAAATCTTAAAAAAAAATACATTTAAAAATGGCAAAGTGGTAAATTTTATCCTACATATATTTACCACAATAGAGAAAAGCAGAGTGAACACCCAACAAGAAAACCAGAAGAAACCCATGCCAAGACACATAATCAAAGTGCCAAAAACTAAAGATAAGCCATTGAAAAAAGATACAGGACCTACAAAATGTTTAAAAAACTGTAGCTTTCTCATCAGAAACCACAGACAGCAGGGAATGGCACATGTTGAGAGCGCTGAAAGAAAAGAAGAGTCAGGGCACCAGTGTGGCTCAATCAGTTGAGATTCTGCCTTTGGCTCAAGTCACGATCTCAGGGTCCTGGGATTAAGCCCTGCATTGTCATCATCGAACTCCCTGCTCAGGGGTCAGTCTGCTTGTCTCTCTCCCTCTGCGCCTTCCCCATACCTTGCTCACTCACTTCCTCTCTCAAATAAATAAAAATCTTAAAAAAAAAAAAAAAAAAAATCGTCAGCCCAGAATTCTGTATCTAACAAATATACCCTTCAGGAATGAAGATAAGGACATTATCAGAAGAAAGAAAACTAAGGATAAATCCAAGCCAGCAGATCACTCTGAAAGAATTGCTAAAGGAAGTTCTTTAGACAGAGGATATAAATAAATAAGTAAGTAACAACAAAAGAAAAATTTAGACTATCAGGAGCAATCGAAATTATAAATATCTGGGTATAAATATAATAAACCATTCTCCCCCCGAGTTCTTTAAAATTTGTTTGGCAGGTGAAAGCAAAAAATGTAACATTGTCTGATGAGGTTTTCAATGTAGGTAGATGTGATACAGACGACAAAAGCATAAAGGGATAATGGGATCTATAGGTAAAGAGTTTTTACATTTTAATTAAAGTGGTAAAATACTGATTCTAAGTAGACTGAAAAGTATTTAGTAATCTCCAGAGCAATTACCAAAACATCATATAAAGAGATACCTGGGGTGCCTGGGTGGCTCAGTTTGTTAAATATCTGCCTTCAGCTCAGGTCATGATCCCAGGGTCCTAGAGTGGAGGCTCACATCAGGGTCCTTGCTAAGCAGGGAGCCTGCTTCTCCCTCTCCTTCTACCCCCCACACCCCTAGGGCATATGTGCTCTCTCTGTTGAATAAATAAAATCTTTAAAAATAATAAAAATAGGGACACCTGGATGGCTCACTCAGTAAAGCGTCTGCCTTTGGCTCAGGTCATGATCCCTGGGTCCTGGGATCAAGTCCCACATCAGGTTCCCAGTTTAGCAGGGAGTCTGCTTCTCCCTCTCCCTATCTCCCTCCTCCTGCTTGTGCTAAGAAATAAGTAAAATCTTTTAAAAAATTAAAAATAAAAATAAATAAGTAGATACTCAAGGGGTGCCTGAGTGGCTCAGTTGGTCAAGTGTCTGCCTTCGGATTAGGTCATGTCTCAGGGTCCTGGGATCGAGCCCTACACTGGCTCTCTGTTCAGCAGGGAGTCTACTTCCCTGTCTCCCTCCACCTCTGCTCCTGAACCATGCACATGCACACACTCTCTCTGTCAAATAAATAAATAAAATCTTTTAAAAATATTTTATTTATTTATTTGACAGAGAGAGAGAGTGAGAAAGGGAACACAAGCAGGGTGTGTGGGAGAGGGAGAAGCAGGCTTCCCGCCAAGCATGGAGCCCAATGCGGGGCTCAATCCCAGGACCCTCGGATCATGACCTGAGCAGAAGGCAGACGCTTAATCAATGAGCCACCCAGGCGCCCCAAATAAAATATTTTTAAAAATAAAAATTTAGGGGCGCCTGGGTGGCTCAGTGGGTTAAAGCCTCTGCCTTCGGCTCAGGTCATGATCCCAGGGTCCTGGGATCGAGCCCCACATCGGGCTCTCTGCTCTGCAGGGAGCCTGCTTCCTCCTCTCTCTCTCTCTGCCTGCCTCTCTGCCTACTTGTGATCTCTGTCTGTCAAATAAATAAATAAAATCTTTAAAAAAAAAATTTAAAAAGATAATCAAAATTAGAATTAAAACACTAAAAGTGGGGGTGCCTGAGTGGCTCAGTTGTTAAACATCTGCCTTCAGCTCAGGTCATGATTCCAGGGTCCTGAGATTGAGCCCCATGTTGGGTTTCCTGCTTGGTGAGTCTGCTTCTCCCTCTGCTGCTCCCCTGTTTGGCTCTCTCTGTCAAATAAATAAATAAAATCTTTTTAAAAAAGAAAAGAAAAATAAATAAATAAGGAAATAAAATAGTAAAAGTGCTCAATCTGTAAAATGGCAGAAAGGGGGAAAGGAACAAAAAAAAGGAGGGAACAAACTGAAAACAAGTAATATGATGGCAGACCTAAATCTAAACATAACCTACCAGTAATTAAATTAATATTAAATGGCCTAAATATACCCACTAAAAGACAAAGACTATCACAAAGAATAAGACAGCCATACACTGACTGTAAGAAACTTACTTCAAATATAATGATATAGGTAGGTTAAAAATAAAAGGATGGGAAAAGATATACCAAACAAACATCAATCAAAAGGAAGCTGCAAGGAATGAAAAGTGGTTCAAAACTAAGAAAAAAAAAAAAATCAGAGCACCTGGTTGGCTCAGTCGGGTGGAGTGCATGACTCTTAATCTCGTAGTTGTGAGTCTGAGCCCCACAATTGGGTATAGAGATTACTTGGAAATAAAAATTCTAAAAAAAAATTTTTTTTTTAAAGATTTTATTTATTTGACAGAGATCACAAGTAGACAGAGAGGCAGGCAGAGAGAAAAGGAGGAAGCAGGCTCCCTGCTGAGCAGAGAGCCGATGCAGGGCTCAATCCCAGGACCCTGAGATCATGACCTGAGCCGAAGGCAGAGGCTTAACCCACTGAGCCACCCAGGTGCCCCTAAAAAAAATTTTTTTAATCAATGAATATATTATGTTAATATACAAAGGGAAAAAAACACAACATCTCAATGCAGAAAATGCATTTGATAAAATCCAACATCTTTTCATGATAAAAACATTCAGAAAACTAAGTGCAGAAGAGAACTTCCCAATTAATGATGAAGGGCATTATGAAAAAAATGTCATACTCAATGGTGAGAGACTGAAAGGTTTTCCTCTAATATCAGAAAAGAGACAAGGATGCCAGCTTTCACCATTGCTATTTAACAATGTGCAGGATTTCTAGCCAGAACAATCAGACACCAAAGAGAAGTAAATAAAAGACTATCTCTATTTGCAGATGACATAATCTTATATACCAAAATCCCAAAGAATCCACAGGAAAGCTAATAAACAAAATCAGCAAAGTAGCAGGATGCAAGATCCATATACAAAAGATCAGTTTTGTCTGTATACTCCTTCAATGAATAATCCAAAAAGGAAATTAAGAAAGCAATTCTAGGGGCACATGCATGGCTCAGTTGGTTAAGCAACTGCCTTCGGCTCAGGTCATGATCCCCTAGGATCCTGGTATCGTGTCCCACACTGGGCTACTCCTGCTCTGCAAGGAGCCTGCTTCCCCCTTCTCTTTCTGCCTGCCGCTCCCCTTGCTTGTGTTCTCTGTCAAATAAATAAAACCTTTAAAAAAAAAAAAAAGAAAGAAAGCAATTCTTGGGGTTCCTGGGTGGCTCAGTCAGTTAAGCATCTGACTCAGCTCATGATTTCAGGGTCTTGGGAGCAAGTCCCACATCAGGCTCCCCACTCTGAAGGGACCACCTCTCCTCCTGCTGTTGTACAACTGAAGAAAAGCCCTGGGGCACCTGTGTGGCTCAGTGGGTTAAGCCTCTGCCTTCGGCTGAGGTCATGATCTCAGAGTCCTGGGATGGAGCCCCGCATCAGGCTCTCTGCTCAGGAGGGAGCCTGCTTCCCTCTCTCTCTGCCTGCCTCTCTGCCTACTTGTGATCTCTGTCAAATAAATAAATAAAATCTTAAAAAAAAAAAAAAAGAAAGCAAGCCAAGCCAAGCCAAGCCAAGCCAAGCCCAGCCCAGCCCTGGATCCAGTGGCTTCACTGGTGAATTTTACCAAACATCTGAAGAACACCAATCCTCCCCAAACTCTTCCAAAAGACCAAAGAGGGCATACTTCCTAATTCATTCTATGATGCCAGCACTGCATGATACCAAAGCCAAACGAAGACACTGAAGGAAAACTAGAAACCAATACCCCTTATAAATATGGATACAAAAATCCCAACAAGCTGAATTCAATTGCAAATTAAAAGATTATACATCACGATCAGTGGGATTTATTCCTAGAATGCAAGGATGGTTCAACATGCAAAAACTGATCAATATACAACATTAAAAAACGAAGGGAGAAAAAAAACCCATATGTTATCTCAATTGGTGCATGTGACAGAATTCAAGACCTTTTTAGGATAAAAACAGTCAATAAACTAGAATTAGAAGGAAACTAGTAACATAATAATCCAACATAATAAAGGTCATATATGAAAAACCCACAGTGCTCCTTATACTCAATGTGCAAGACTGAAAGGTTTCCTCTAAGATCAAGAACAAGACAAAGATGCCTGCTTTTGCCACTTCTATTAAAAGCAGTATTGGAAGTTCTAGCCAGGCAATTAGGTGAGAAGTAGAAATAAAAAAGCATCAGGATTAGAAAGGAAGAAGATTGCCTGTTTACAGATGACATGCTCTCGGTATGTAGAAAACCCTAAAGATTCCACACAAAAAAATTGTTCGAACAAATAAATTCAATAAAGAAGAAGAACACAACCCCTACTTTAAAAAAAAAAAGAAAATTTATTTATTTATTTGAGAGAGTGAGAGAGAGAGCACACGAGCCGCGGGAGAGGAAGAGGCACACTTCCCTGCTCAGCAGGGGGTATGACGCCTGAGCTAAAGGTAGACACTTAACCAACTGAGCCATCCAGGCACCCCACAACCTCTACTTTTAAAGGTAGAAACATTTATACATTTTTCCTCTTATTTTTCCCAATTTCCAGACATTGAGCTCTAAGTTTATATTTCTGTATCCTCCATAAGGCCTACCTCATTGCCCGATAAACACTTGCTGATTGAACAATACCCTTTTTTTTTTTTTTTTTTTTTTTTAGATTTTATTTGTTTGTTTGACAGAGACAGACACAGCGAGAGAGGGAACACAAGCAGGAGGAGCAGCAGAGGGAGAGGGGGAAGCAGGTTTTCCCCACGGAGCAGGGAGCCCAATGTGGGGCTCAATCCCAGGACCCTGGGATCATGGCCAGAGCCGAAGGCAGACGCTTAATGACTGAGCCACTCAGGTGCCCCTGAACAATACATTCTTAAAAGGCAATGTCCAAATAGCCATTCATTCATGAATAGTCGTCCATTTCCTATACTAAGTATCTAAATATTATACTGAGTCCATTCTAAAGGTTTTTGGTATTTGTTAATATTATGACTTGTTTTTTATGCTCAAAGAATTCAACTGTATTCCTATTTTATTTTCTAGGATCTTCAAATAACACAATAAATCCAAGTAGATATCTACGTTTATTATCTAGCCATCAAGATAAAGCCAGCTTCTGTTTATTGAGTATTTTTCCTTTAAACACGCTAGTTAACTAATGTCTAGTCCAATATACTAGTACACCCTAATTTCAGTCATTTTGTTAACCCCTTAAAGCAACTTTTAATAATTAGCTACAGAAATTATTTTTCCCCAGATTACAGATTTTATTCATTTTGGAAGAACTGCTACATTTTTTTTTAAACCCAGTAAGTATATAATGTGATTCTCATTAAGAATGTGTAAGAGTCGGGGCTCCTGGGTGGCTCAGTTGTTAAGTGTCTGCCTTTGTCTTGGGTCATGATATTGAGCCCCACATCCGGCTGCCTGTGCGGCAGGAAACCTGCTTCTCCCTCTCCCGCTCCCCCTGCCGGTGTTCTCTCTTTCACTGTGTCTCTGTCAAATAAATAAATAAAATCTTAAAAAAAAAATAAAAATAAAAGAACGTGTAAGAATCTCTTGAGGGACTTTTCAAACCAAACATGCTACAGAAACCCACCTCCTTGATATTCAATGCCTTAGTGAGCTACTTGGTAGTGGCAACAACCTAAAGGGAGGCATCTTAGCCCTCACGTATATTAGACCGGCACAAAAGTTAAGAACTAATGGGAACTTTTGGTAAATTTAGATACATGTTCTCAAGTGTTCAGTCACCAACTAGGTATGTTCTCTTTCCTACTTCATTATGTTATTCTAATTTAGCATTCAATTAACTTTGAATTAAATTCACTCTAAAATCAAATTTGGTACCCTAATTTGGTAGATTATTAATAGATACTAAAATGTACTTAAGTTTCGTTACAGTCTACTATATCATCTTAAAACAAAATGGAGGATTGATAAAAGTTTTAAACATGCATTCTATTATTTCCATGGATTCTGACTTGTGCTAAAAGATAGGAATATTTATGCCAAAGGAGGTAAAATGCTTAGGTTATTCGAGTTGCGAAAGAAACTCAGTTATTACCTGCTGAACAGCTAGGGTACTGTCCATTTCATCAAAGGATTCATCAGGCCAATTATAGAAATCCTATAAAAAAAAAAACTCATTGTTAAAGCACATACAAAGTCAAAAAAGGCAACAGTACTTCAATTCTTAATAAAGATCCAAAATTGCACTAGAGAGAAAGCTCTCATACTCTAAGTAACAGGATTATCAGTGAATAAGGGAACTTTACTCTATGTTTTTAAATGAACACCAAGATTTTATATAACTGAACTACAAGTTACATTTTTTTCCAACTACAAATCCCTCAAATAGGGATCCCATAAACTTTTCTTTTTTTTTTTTTTTTAAAGATTTTATTTATTTATTTGAGAGAGAGGCAGTGAGAGAGAGCATGAGCGAGGAGAAGGTCAGAGGGAGAAGCAGACTCCCCATGGAGCTGGGAGCCCGATGCGGGACTCGATCCCGGGACTCCAGGATCATGACCTGAGCCGAAGGCAGTCGTCCAACCAACTGAGCCACCCAGGCGTCCCTAGATCCCATAAACTTTTCATGTATTACCTGAAGACATAATCTATCACTTGTTTGTTTATGGGGGTTTAATATTTCTTAAAAAGTTAAGCTGAAAAACAATCTCCAAGCACTGTATCAGTTTTTTACTTTAAGAAATCAGTCTGTGGTGGGGTTAGGTACTGTTCCATTAAGTACTATTGTAGACTGACATTATAAATTATTATTCCACTTCCAAATGGTGTTTCAAATTTCTAAATCAAAATATGAGCTTCATCAAAAAGTAGTCATCCAGTCTTCTTTTAAGAGCAATCAATACTTTTGTGGATCACATGCACTGGTTCTGAATTCCTCTATAGATAGTCCAATCCACAGATATTCCCCTAAGTGATTAAGAGTCTTACCATCTGACAGATTTTTTCAGCAAGATCTACATATGGCAAGGTCTACCTATGTATCCTTAGCAAGCAGTACAACGCCTAACACACAGTAGTTGCCTGATAAATGTCCCTGCGGTATAACTGGGGGAAACAGTAGTAGTGAACCAATGATTTGTACCAATTAACATGTGTAAGTCACCAAACACCTTAAGCAAACTGGAGCAAACTGAAGAATTAAGTGTATGATACCACATGAACAGAAGTTTAAAAAATCCAAAGCATACCTACAGATATAATGCGTACATAGGAAAAGTATGAAGAAAAGGAATGATAATCACCATCACTGGTTGGAAGGAGTGGGGAGAAGATAGAAGAATGTGATAGAGGGATTCATCTATGTTAGTAACATCTTAGTTATGAGGGTAGGTGATGGGTATACCTTCTTAAATGTCTTAAACTTTTCATATCATTCTTTTTTATAGCTGCCCTGTATGAATGAAAATGAATTTTTTAATATGTTAAGTAATAAAAACAACTTTCTGGAAATTGTTCCAAGACGTCTTTCCCTAGATACCACCTAAGTATTATTGAAGACTAGTTTTTAAATTGTTTCTATGTAATTTATACTGAAAGTTGTTTCTATCAGTATGCTTTGACTATTCTTTCCTTTAAAAAATTTAAGGTATTTTAAAAATATTTTGTTTTAAAAATATTAGAAAGCACATAAAGGAATATCCAGAAAACATGCAAAACTGTTAACTGGTAATCAAATGTTTTGTCTCATCACAACTGTCATATAAACACAAAAGGAACCAAAATCAGCTTAATGAACATTCTCATCTATTTCAGGGAATAAACATTTATTGAATACCAACTACATGCCTATATCCCAATCTAACCAATTAAAAAAAAAAGTAGGAAAAAATGTAGGAAGATATAGTTCCAAATAAATTATTTAGACCTATTTCAGTGAAGGAAATTAGTGTGACAAGAAATAGGAAAGAATGCTGCTCATGCCGTCTTTTTTTTTTTTTTAATCCTGACCTTTCCTGTGATGATTTAACAACCTTGATCTATGACAATGTGGAAAAAAGCAAAGGAAATTTTTTTATGTGACTTATAACACAGAAAACAGATGTGTTACAATATTAACTTAAAATATTTTATAACATTTCAAAAAATATTTTATAACATTTCAAAATTAAGGAGTAAATAAAAATGGATGGCGATTCTCAGAATGTGAGTACAAAAGTCGACCTCTGAATATAATAAGAGAAACAATGTTTCCAAAGAAAAAGAAGTAAAGTTATCTGAGAAAAGGGCATTTATAGAAAAGTTTGGAAAAGGTAAAAACAATAATACATAAATTTCCAGCAATATGTCCATAAAACGGCCAGAAGCAACTGAGAGCTAAGTCTGACTCTATAATGGGATGTTTAAGCTCAATACTCTAAAATTCAGTACTAAAAAAAACTTGTTAGAGAAAAGGTCACCAGTGAACTAAGAATCCAGAGACCATGTAACCTTGAGCAAATGCAGCCGATTCTCTGGGACTCGGTTTCCTTATCTGGATCATGGATCTAGGAAGCTGTCTGGATCTAAAAGGTACTTTGAAAGGACTCCCTTTCTAAAATTTTTCTAAAATTCTGTACAGCATATTAAAATCTATTCTCTGGCATATGGTCAGAGCTCCATCGTTTTTTCCTGGGTCTTCTTCCCCCCCCACTTATATCACCTTTTCTTTAAAATTACACTTTGACACCTCTCTTCCGATGTTAGAGCATATACTCAACAGCAATGTATTTCAGCTGGTAGGTTAATCACGTCAAATCTAAATGCCTCTTTGACTTTTCTTTATAATGTGAGACATACCGTCTTTCGAAAACCCCCAGAATCAATGCCTAACCGAACACCACCTCACCCCTAAATACTGCCCTACTAAAAGTGGACAAAATGACCAGTTCATCCCCTGACTACGCCTCCTGTAACAAGGAACGACATCTAACCAGGGCAGCCCGAGGACGAAAGCCTGCTGGGGCAGAAGAACAGCTGCAGCGAGAAATGCTCAAAGGCGAACTGCAGGAGGATAAGGTAAATTGTCGCCACCCGGATCCGGCTAGACGGGCTGGATGGCAGAGGCCGGGCAGGCACGTCACAAACCAGGAAGGAACCGGAAGCCAGGAAGAGGCTGGCCGTGTTTACACCCCTCCCGCCGTGGCGCCCCCAACCCTCCCGAAATCCCCAAGGTCTCCACCTGGGGGGCCGCGCCCTCCGACGACGGTCAACTACGGTTCAGGGGACAGACGAGAACAAGCAGCCGCTGCTGACACGCTCTTGGCCCCGAGCCTCGGCGGTCGCCGCCCGCGTCTTCCACCCACCCCTCATGCCCACCCTCAAGTCGGGGCTCGGCAGGCCTCACGAGCCGTCGCCGCCTCAGCCATACCCCGGGGCTGCGGCTCCGGAAGAGCAGGCCGGGTACTGGTGCCCCTGCCCGCCAGCTTACCGCCCCGGCCCAACCTCCTCTCGGGGGCGGCCAGCTTCCAGGTGCGGCGCGGCTCGCCACCGAGAGTTCCAAGGCAGGAAAGGTGCAGAGAGAGTACCTGCGCCTTGGTGCCCGGCCTGTTCCGCCTCAGCACAGCCGTCCCCTCCGCCATGACCATAGTGCCAGAGTCTGGGCGGCTGGAGTCGATACCCGGATGTAGGGGAAGGCTGCCCGCGCGGGGAGGTGGGGGGGGAGAGCGGGGGGAAGGCGGGCGAGAGGGGAGGGGCGCGACGGGGTGGAGCGCCGCTCTGGATCCGGACGTCAGGGAGGGGCGGTAGCTGACGGATCCGCCGTAGCCCGCGCGGAGCAGGGCGGGAGGCCGGGGAGGAGTCCCAGAAAGGACCGGCTGGCGGAGGGAGAGACACAGAAAATGGAACAGCCGACGACTCACACGGAGCGACGTGGAGGCAAGGAGAGACATGGCCGCGGGGGCGGGGAGTGGCTTCGGGAGAGCGGGCCGGCACCGAGAGCCCCTGCGAGAGTGAGCAAGGCCGGCGTGACCTGTCGGTCCATCTCCCTGGACTTATATTAGTCGCGCTGAAAAGACACGGTTTGCACAATGGTGACTGCTTCAGTAAACCCTTGTACAAGCAGATACCCAAAGAAGCATAATTCTGCCCCTGAATCCGCCTAGACAAAGTGGAGAAACGGGCCAGCAGTCCGGGAAAATTCCTCAGACCCCCGCAGGAAACCGACCCAATTTCAAAAAAGACTAGGGCTTAGACTGTCAAATGATGTTTCCACCATCCTCTGACTTCAAAGCCAAGGACCTTTTCAATGACAAGTTTGTGTAGGTAAAAGACTTAGAGGCTAATTATCTGAGAGAGCGTGGACGTCTGGTATTCTGCGTTAGGCGGACAAAATTAGCTCTTATTTTTTTGCAAGCCAGAAACAGGAAGAGAAAACGAATGCCCCTTGACAGATGGTGGGAGTTGCACATCATTACATGATTCTAAATTTCTTTTGTTGCAAGTTTTAAGTGTTCTCCTAACGTTATGTAATCACGAAAGTTGGGCAAACTTTTGTTTCCTGTTTAGAAACATTAAATCTTTGATCTGGGATGACGGAGGCCATAGGATACCAGCTGTGAAGCCAGCTCAAAGGGTAAAAACCGCATATACTAGGGTGATTTCCAAAAGAAAACATCAAATAAACCATCAAATACACCTAAAGGTGCATTGAGAATGCCTGAGAGCTGTATCACAGACAGCCTCCAAAAATGGAGGGAGGAATGGAAGAAAGGTTCGTTAAACTAGTGGGTGCAAATTGCACTAATTGTCAGAGACTTGGAACTTTGCTCAAAGGGGTTAGACAACAGGAAGTTGGTTTGCCTTTAAGATTCCTCCTTTCTGGAAGATGTATAGACTGGTAACTTCTCCAGAGCAAGTAACAATTCCATCACTACTTCCTAGTATATTTATTTATTCAACAAATATTTATTAAGCCCCACTATGTGTTCAGCACTGAGGTACAAATATGAAAAGGCCCAATCTTTAACCATAAATTGCTTAGAGTGTAGCACTGGGGACAGACGGGCAATCACCAATTCTCTTGCTAAATATGGTGAGACTCTAAGACAAGTGGCACCCAAATGATGCCTTCCTAAGAGGCATGAGGTGGGCCCGGGGAAGAGCAGAGTCCTAAGTAGGCTTCTAAGTCTGTGAACAACTCTTACCTCCAAGGATTAAATTAAAATTTCCCAGATTGTGTGGTAGTGTCCCTCACTTGCAAGTAACAGTTACCTATAATTGAAGGGGCTCATCTTAATGTTCTTTTAAGTCCAGATTTGTTATATGATTTCACCTCACCTGAAAAGAACAAGAGAAAAACTGAATAAGTAGGTTTTAAATTCAGGAACAGAATATGCATTCATCTCTGAAAAGTCTGATAAGGTTGCATTGTGATGTCAACTCTGGCCTTGCTCACAGGAAGAACCTTGTTCTTTAGAGTTGAAATGTTTCTAGCTCATAACCTTCACATTTTAATTCCTCTGTCAGTCTGCAGATTATGACCTCCAAACAAAAACAATTTTCTAACCAGTGTTAACCAGTGTTTGAGGGGTGAGAGAGGGAAGTGAAGAAGAAAAGAAAGACAGCATGAGCACTAATAAAAATTGCATGTAGTAATGGGTTACTTGAATATTTTGGTTAAAGAAGGAATAGTCTTTTTAAAGGTAATATGGCCATATGGAAAAAACTCTGGGATGGGATTCAGAAAATCTAGATTCTCTTGCCTGTTGACTATAAGACTTTGAATGAACTATCAAAAGTTTCTTTATTTGTAATGAAAATAATGCACGGCACTTCTTTCTCTCTACCTCATAGAGGATGAAAGCAAGTATAAAAGTAAATATTCCTGGGATACCTGGCTGGCTCAGCTGGTAGAGTATGTGACTTGTGATCTTGAGGTGGTGAGTTCAAACCCCACATTGGGTGTAGAGAGTACTTAAAAATAAAAACTTCAAAAAAGTAAATATTCCTTGACTTTTTTTTTTTAAGATTTTATTTATTTATTTGACAGAGATCACAAGTAGGCAGAGAGGCAGGCAGAGAGAGAGGAGGAAGCAGGCTCCCTGGTGAGCAGAGAGCCCGATGTGGGGCTTGATCCCAGGACCCTGGGATCATGACCTGAGCCGAAGGCAGAGCTTTAACCCACTGAGCCACCCAGGTGCCCCAATATTCCTTGACTTTTATTAAAGTTTTAGAAGAAAATATTTTACAAATCCGAAGTATCATAAGTAATTTCAAAAATATCTATCTTATATGAAATTCTCTTTGGGGAAGGTTAAAATCCAAGTAAAATAGTGAATGCCCATTTTGTGAAGGGCAATAAGCAAATGCTGAGAAACATAAATAAGATGTATAAGCTTCTTTCCTCAGAGAGTTTAAAAATGAATGGGGAAGGGTGATATATAGATTACTGTATTTTACTATACTATATAACAAAATGTCAGGGCACCCTGGGTGACTCAGTCAGTTGAGTGTCTGACTCTTGATCTTAGCTCAGGTCTTGATCTCAGGGTCATGAGTTCAAGCCCTGCATTGGGATCCATACAGGGTGTGGAGCCTAGCTGGGAAAAAAAAAAAGGCAGCAAAATGTCTTAAGTCTCTTGTTGTCCATTCCCCTTCCCAAGTGTTCTTTGCAAACATACTTTTATCTTGATCAGTATCCATCTCTCCTCATGTGACCAGGGAAAGGTAAACCCATCTCTAGTTGAGGTTTGAGTCCCTATTGTCCTAACCCAGGGTTTGGTTAAATGGTAAGCATCTGACTCCGTTTAGCCTAAAGAGGTATAAAAGTATATCTGATGGAGGCCTTTGGAAAGATTTGGGGGAAGAGATAGGGTTAGGAGAAAGGTTTTCTTGTTCTTGAGGAGATACCGGAAGAGAGAGTTCTTTTTTTTTGCCCATGAACTTTGCCAAGTTCCTTAACTGCCTTAACCATATTGGCTTGAAGGGAGCTAACCTAAGCGCAAAACTGAGACACTATGAATGATGCATGAAGTAGTGAAAATCTGGCTTAAAGTATGGGTAGCATTTCTATGTGGAGATGCAGACTTCATCCCAGGCCAAGCAAAGTTGAGGCAGCAGGGAAGTATGGGGAGGTATGTTCATAGTTGAACAGATTGAATAATGAACAACATATTTAAAAGATTTCAAACTTAGACAACTTTGACTACACTACAGATGAGAAGCTACCAAAGTCCCATGGCACTTCACTTTTCTCTCTAGAATTCTAGAGCATTTGACCAAATCAGTGATTATAGTACACAGCTGCCAAGATGGGTCCCAGTGATTATTATATCCTGGTATGTACACTTTTTTAAAAATTACTATTTTTTTTAGAAATCTCTATACCCATTGTGGGGCTCAAACTCAATGACCCTGGGACCAAGAGTTGCATGCTCTTCCAACTGAACCAGGCAGGTGCCTCACTTCCTGTTTTCAAGAGGGCACCTGATGTCTTTCATGAAGTTAGCAGCACTTTCTGTCTTTATTTTTGCAATGACACGAATCATTGCCCCACAATGGGTATAGAGATTTCTAAAAAAAAAATTGTAATTTTTAAAAAAGTCAACGACCTGGCTGACTCAGTTGGTAGAGCATATGGCTCTGGATCTTGGAGTTTTGAGTCTGAGCCCCATATTGAGGGTAAAGTTTACTTAATAAATAAATAAAAGTATGTTATTAATTTAGTTGTTCACTTCTGTCTCCCCAATTTTATTCATTCCTGTTTCTCCAACAGTGCCTGGCACATATTAAAAAAAAAAAAATTAATGACTTAAAGGGAACAAAACTTGCCTTTTTGAATTGACACTCAAGTCAGGTAAGTAAGTACCCACTGATGCTTTTGCAAGTTAAGTCTCCAGGCTAAATGCTACTGAAAGACCATTTTGCAAGACTTGGGCTAAATTTTAACATGTCTTAAAGAACTAGGCTTGGGATGCCTGGGTGGCTCAGTTGGTTAAGCCACTGCCTTCGGCTTGAGTCATGATCCCGGGGTCCTGGGATTGAGGCCCGCATCAGGCTCCTTGCTCGGCAGGGGGCCTGCTTCTCTCACTGCCTCTGCCTGCCTCTCTGCCTGCTTGTGTGCGCTCTCTCTCTCTCTCTGGCAAATAAATAAAATCTTAAAAAAAAAAAAAACTAGGCCTAATCTGTAAGAGGGAAGGGGGTTGGTTGGATCCATTCCTTATGTCTTATAATAAGAAAATCTCCAGATAAAGTTAAGACTGAAATTTAAAAACAAACAAACAAAAAAACTAAAAACACCTATAGAAACCATGGAAGAACCTTTAAATACTGGAGAAGACTTTTCAGTTTGACATAATACCCAGAAGCCATAAATGTAAAATACTAATGTAGCTATACTAAAATGACTTCCTGCAAGTTCAAAGCATAAACAGAATCAAAGCCAAAATGATAAACTGGAGGGAAAAACTTATCACAAAGAACCAATTTCCATAATCAATAAAGATATCACACAAATCTTAAAAGGCCAATTGTCCAACAGAAAGACAGGTAGAGGATATTCACAGTCAATAGGAATAGTCAGTTAGCAGTAAAGAAACAGAAGTGACTGTCAAACTCAAGATGCTCACCTATTCATAATGATAAAAGTAGAATTGTTTGGGGCGCCTGGGTGGCTCAGAGGGTTAAGCCTCTGCCTTCAGCTCAGGTC